ATCAATGTTTTATAAAATAACTCATATCACTTCTCTATCTTAACTCTAATTATCTGGCTTATTTATTTTATTTAGCTCTCATAATCCTATCTGCATAAGCCTAATTTCATATAGCCAATGACCTTCAAGAAATTCCAATAGACACTTTTCTTTGCATTACTCCAAACTGTTGGTAGAATGTGCTACAGATTTAAACATATACTGAGTTCCCTTATAATAGTTTCAAGCTTAAAAAGCAAGATTAATGTTTTGAATTTAACCACATTTTATCGAATTCTGTCGGATGAATTATTAAGAGTTTTTAAAGTTTTCCAACATTTTATCTCTTACTCCAGAGTTATTAAGAGCCTGAATAAACTGATGGTGAACGTTTAAATAGACTGGGAGTAGATACAAGTCCCACCTCAATTGGAAAGGCTGACTAGATTACTAAGGGTTCATTCATCAATCAACCTGTTACTTCATAGGGTTACTTTGATGGGGAAAATTCAAGGAAGATGGTATATATGAAGAGAAATAGTAGCTTAAAAATTAACAAATGAATGAATGATAGATAGATTTACTTGTGAATGCTTGGGCAGGTGAATGCCAATTATTGTCTGCCATATATCTTTACCAATAACCACACATGAAGTTCTGGGCACTACTAGATTTAGATTTACCAGATCCAGGCTGCAAATCTCTTGAAGCCCATTAGATGGCAGCAAAGAGACAGCATCTTCAAGAGCTTTGAGGCTTGGATCTGCAGAGCACAAAATTCCAGAGCTCCTTAAGGATTTGGATAGTGTGATGTGCAGCATATAAATTTAATAATAAAATAAATATAACAGACACACCGATTTTTAAAGACCAACACCGTCTAGTATGACTGGGCAAGTTTTGGTTGAAGTGTTCAAATCTCTGAATAGAATGCCTTCCATACATGCCTCTGTGCAATCTTGAGCAATAAATGTTGCTGCTTTTAAGAGTCACAGACATTTATTCACCTTTTTTTGTCTGGCTTTTTTTTTGTTTGGCTGGCAAAAATATTAGGTGCTTTTAAGGAACCAGACAGAGATACAGCTTGTGGGAGGTCCAAAGTTTTTCCTAATAATTTTCAAAGAAGGCACTGCCCTGTGACAGAATCCAATTTATTAAGATCAGAAGATTAAACTCCATGCATAATTGTTAGCTGGGTATAAGTTCCATTGATCAACAAAGTGCTTCAACCTTCAATATGTATTAATACAGTGAGCTTAGAGAGATGATGTTCAGTTGGCTGAAGTGCAGTTTCAGCTTCTAAGTAGAAGTAGAAACCATTTTGCAAAAGAAAGGTTAGCACTTAAAAGGGTAATGTGAAGATAAAAATCATATCCAATACTCATGAATACAGGTAGTCCTCGACTTACAACAGTTTGTTTAGTGACCGTTCAAAGTTACAACTGGAAAAAGGGACTTATGGCCATTTTTCACACTAACAACCATTGCATCAACCCCATGATCACGTGACCAAAATTCAGCTGCTTGGCAATTGGTTCATATTTATGACTGTTGCTGTGTCCCAAGATCAGGTGATTCCCCCTTTTGCGACCAGCAAAGTCAATAGGGAGGTCAGATTTACTTTACAACCGGGTTACCAACTTATCAACTGTGGTGATTCACTGTGGCAAGAAAAGTAATAAAATGGGGAACAACTCACTTAACAAATGTCTCACTTAACAACAGAAATGCTGGGCTCAATTGTGGTTGTACACTGAGGACTAACTGTAGTAGAATTTGAAAACCTCATTATTACCTCACTCATTTGGCAGCTACAGTTACATATAAAATTATTCTAGCATTCAACAAATATCATCATTAATCATGTAGCTGCATTACATTATATTATTCTGCCAAATACACACACACACACACACACACACACAATTTTACTGCTTTTTATTTCAGCCTTCTTTCTTATTACTTGATTGGGAGGGGAATGCTAAGGGAATTTCACTGACGAATATTAGAAACTAAGGTAGCTCAATGATTATGGGCTAGTAATGTCAAGCTTCATTCAGTAACAAAAATAAACTAAGGAAGATGATTGAAGTCAACTGGACTCTCTTGTCAGCAAACATATGTGGTTAGAGACTGTTAACTTCATTGATTATAAAAATGATGAGGAAATTTAAATTTAAATTTAAAGATTTTTTTTCCAGAGGATATTCACCCTTTGTCCATTAGAGGGCAGCAATAGAAAAGTTAACAATTTCATAAGCATGAAATATTTGTATAACCTTGCAATTTAGAAATAATTAAAATAATGAATTTATGTAATTAGGACCCAGCAACACATGTAATAGAAAGTTAACTGCAGTTGGTATCCTTCAATTGCTTAACCAGATTGTTTTTATAAGCATTCTTCAGTTTGAAGGAACAGAAGCAGGTAGATGCATTCACGCTCCAGCCAAGATTTGGCAAATGATTCTGGAAAATTCTCCAGCTAAAATGTTCCCAAGACTGGACAGATCTAAATGAAAAGGGAACACTAATTACAGTATCCCCGGCACAGCATATTACTGAAGCATTTAGTTTACAAACATCGTTTACTGACGTTAGGAAACATCACAGGAATTCTTTAACAGTGAGCCTTGTTTCTAGAGCTTGGATCTGGTTGTGCTTGGATCCAACTGTGAATGTCTTCAGTACTTAAAAGCAGGCATGGGTGGATGACACACGGCAAATGGAACAAACCTCTAAGATTTTCCTGCATGTGTCAGGGTTGGCATCAAGGCATCCACAGTTTCAAGCCATGGTCATTTCAGAGGGTGTTGCTGAACTGTGTTTTACTGGAACACAACACCATTCTGAATACGGTAGCACAGGAAATTTATGTTTCTGAACTGGATGGTAGTAAGATTCAAAAAAGCCTAGGAAACTCCTTTGATTCAGTTTCTTTTTTTCCAGCATGCTCTTTACCGGTCTAAAAAATGAAGCCTTTCATTGATGAAATTAGTGGAGAGGGCTCTGTGGAGAGATCCCTTTTAATTTATTTCATTTTTATCCCTACCTTTCAAGGAGATCACAGCCTCCTTGCACTTTAACCAGAGGTGGTATTCAGCAGGTTCTGACCAATTCTGGAAAACCAGTAGCAGAAATTTTGAGTAGTTCGGAGACCCGGCAAATACCACCTCTGACTGGAGATTTTACAGTATCCTTCCCCTGCCATGCCCACCAAGCCACGATCACAGAATCAGTAGTAAAAAAAATTGAATCCCACCACTGACTTTTACACTGCAGCAGCCTTGCGAGCTATGCAGTTCATTATGGAGATCCATCTGGGTCTCCACAGGCTGAGTCCAAAATTGTACTTGATACTCTACACAGGTACTCAAGAATTCCACCGCATGATAACTAAGTTAAATGTTGATCAGGATGAAATCTAATTTTGAAATAAAAATTTCCTCTCAGCAAACTTAAAAAAAGATTTAAAAAAACCACATTATAGAGTGACAGTGAACTCCTAAGAACAAGTAATGAGTCACGTTGGACTTATAACATAGCAACTCACAAGAGAAGGTTTTGTAACCAGAAAAGCGTGGATGTAAAATATCCGCCTACTACTGGACTACACTATGCAACTGGCTTAAGGCATGAAAAAATGGTAGATTATAATTTCCCACAACTTCTGAAATAAGGGCAAGGCAAACTGTATCTTTCAGAAAAGAGATTTATGGTGCTAACTATAACCTCAGAATGTATACACCTGAGAAAATTTCTGTCAGAATACCCTTGGACAGGGTCTCTGAGTAGGACAGGAATCCTGTTTTCCCTGGACAAACTGTAGCTTGGAATTATAATTTCTGTGTTAGAATTTTGTATATTCAAAATCTGATAACTGACACAACTTAACCCCAAGACCAGGATTTGCTTTCAATGGCTTTTTGTCCTCTCAGCAGTGGTTCCTATTCAACCTACTCCTGAGTACTTCCAAGATAATCTATCCAAGATCAATACACTTTTGCCTAGTTCTACTTCCCCCCTTTCAACTTCGATGGATGTCATGCTGTGCCTGGTCTTCTATATTCTAGTACTCAGCCCAGTCTTCCAACATTAAATTTTCTTCTTCCCCAAGAATTGATGCCGAGCATGGGTTGCATTCAGAGTGTGCAGGTTCACTCCAGAATCCAATATGAAAAGTACTTTAGTTCAGGTTTATCACAGCAACCGACCAATGTTTTATGCCCCAAGAAAGGAACCTATTGAAAGCTATCCTTGGTGACCCTAGTCAAGAATGCCACAAGCCTGGTAAGTGGTGCTCAGAAGTGATCTAGGACTGTGGCTACACAAATAAGATCTGTCAAAGGAGAGTCCCAGCAAATGGATCCCAAGGAATGTAGGCAGCTTGCTTTGGGAGGGGACAAATATCGCCTCCATCATGACCTCACATTCTAATCATGCTTAGTTTAATGGTTTAATCTTTTTTAGGAAAAAAGTTCAAAACAGTTCGATCCTGACATATCCAAATAATGGTGGGAATACTGCTTAGCAGTAATCCTGAATTTGAGAAAACACTGTAGATAGCACTGAGCTAGATCAGCAGTCTGACTTAGTGTAACTTCAATAATTTAAAACTCACGAAGGCAAGGAAGTAGTTGTAGTGGGAAACATTCCAAAATGCACATCTTACCGAAGGAGAAAAACAACTCATGGAAAGGCAAAAAAAAGTTGTTGTCAGCTTTCATTATATTAAAGAATAAAACACTGGGAAAGAAGCTTGTGAAAACTAAGGCTATTTCTAAAAGGCAGCAAAATTTAAGATTTACTAGGGCCATGATCAGCAAAGGATCTACTACCTCAATAGTGTCACTTGACATGCAGTAGACTTCAGATTTTATAATTCCTGCTCAAGGGCTATGGAGGTTAAAGATCAATACATCTGTACGGCCCAGGCTTCAAAAAGCTTTTCCACAGTCATCTTAATCATTATCTCATCATTATCTGATCATTACAATCTATTGATTGATTTTCACACTTACCATTTTGCAGATAGACTTTGCCTCTTCAGAGAATTTATGGGAATACACCTCTTCTATCTCCAAGACTCTCCTGTCTACTTCTTCCCGCTTCACCTTCTCTTTCCTTCCTCGAAACGGTGACTGTCCTGCAATCATTTCATAGATTAAGCAGCCTAATCCCCAGTAATCAGGGCTAAGGGTATATCGTTGGTTATTCAAGACTTCTGGAGCTGGGAAAAAGAAAGGAGACAATGGAAAAAACGTTCTCTATGTCTATATTGACGTCAGCATATCTATCGAGGCAAGAATGAAATAAGAGATTCCATTTAGTTTGGCCAAGGATCAATTTGATACTATGATGGAAGCTCAGTGGAAATTGTTCCACAGATAATTATAATAATAAAATTAAGCCATTTATGTAGGTTCACTTCCGTATAGTTGCAAACAATTGTTCTCCATGATAGTTCAAATACATATTTCCAGAATTTAAATAGGAATGGAGACCACCGTTCACCCTGTGATAATCTATATTGTGCAATATACAAAGATACCTATCAGGTGGTAATCTGAATCATTCCAACTACTTTACTTTGCCCCTTCAGAAAATACCAAAATGAATTTTTTCAAGGATCTGTAAAGGATAATATGGGTACCACATAAGCTTAACCCTAACAACAGTCTATATGTAATTAGCTTTTTTTAATCACACACGTCACATTACTATATGTGGTATGAAATTAGTTTTCTTCCACACTGGAATCTGGTACAAGCCACAACGATTTCACAGATGCCACTATGTTATTATGTGAATGATGTAAATTTAACTAGTTTGTTTAAATCATATCATGCCCTCAAGTGATCATGACAATTTTGTGTTGCCCACCTTGTAACGGCATCCCCAGTGTTTGGTAGTGTAGTGGGAGGGGGCTTCAGGGACTATAAAAAAAGAGTGCACAAAACCCAGGAAACAATCTCAATTGCCCATCTTTGATCTAAGTTGAAATCTTAGTGCCATTTATTTGCAACAATCTCATTTCCATCTTTCTCTTTTAAAGTACTCTGAAGCATGAGGTTTAATATTTACTAAGATTTATAAATAAATAATACATGCCAGCAAATCAATGGACCCTATTTTACATGTCACCTTAGAGAAATTAATTAAAACTATCAAGAATGAAAAAAACTACTTAAAATTTTTCACAATTCCTATATTAAATGTTTTCCTCTGCAGTCAATTACAATGTGGACTTTGGTACAAAGCATACATTGACAACTATAGCTATTGGAGGGTGGAGGGTGAGGAATTAAGCCATGAAAGTATCTAGGACACAATTTTAAAACAACGGAGGTGCTGACACTGATACCTCAGAAACTCTAAATGCTGGATAATATTCAAATGGTTCATTAGATGAATGCTAATCTTGTTCTTCCAAAGGCCATTCATGGATGCCATGTTTACTGACAATCCTACACAATTCCTTATTTCATGCATTGTTCTTATTAAATAAATATATTTTTAACTTTTAACAGTGTTGAGTGTCGCATAAACCCAATTTGGGAGATGCTGCCTTTGCACTCAAGCAATTAGGAGAGAACGTACAGAGAACAGTGTCTTGATCAAGTGATCCTTCATATCAGAGATTTAGCCATCTGTTCAGTCACGCTGAATTGTGACTGCTTATCATGCATGAACAGCATTTGTTTTTTTCTTTTACATTGCAGAGTTGAAATAATAGTCTTCAAAATTGAAAACAACAGACTATTTCAGACCACTCACCCATATAACCAACTGTTCCTACTCGTCCACGGATGGAGTCACCCTCAGGAATTTTAACAGCTAAACCCAAATCAGATATTCTGATGTGGCCTAAAGTGGAGGTGAAATTTTGTTTAGCATAGGCATGAATCTGTATAAAACAATCATTTTGCTATTAAATACATTATCAAAACAAATATAACCATTGCAGGAAGAAAAATAATACCAGTTCTTTGGAGAAACTCATCTGAAAAATTGATCAAGGAAACTGCCTGATACTAGGGCAGGTCAAATGTTCCTCTGCTTTCAGATAAAAGTACAAGCCTGAACATGAGATCATCTTAGACAGCAGGGAGAATTTCAATAATGTTAATCTTGATATGCACTAAACACATTAATGTTAATCTTGACTATGCACTAAATATTAAAAAAACACCTTTTAATGTGTTTAATTTCTTTAAAATCCCCTTGAAAGGATGCTACGCCAGAGAATTCCATCCAGAAAAGAAAAACTTGGTTGAAAAATAAAATTGCATTGGAAGTGCAATCAAGATTTTATGTTATTTTATTCCTTTCAATGAGAGGGGAAAAAGGAATCCTAGGTGGGGTTGATAGGAATCATTTAATGTAATTCCTTGCTTGGTGAAAGGAATCCAAGCATATTTAAAATATGGTTGCTCATATTGCTTGGCTGTCAAACCGTTAGGGACTATTTCCTAAGAATCCACTACGATTTGCCTTCCTGTAATATAAGATTACTGCTCCACAGAGCACACCAACTAACCAATTCAAATTACAATGAGCATTTTCATTATGTTTTCATGCTTCCCCCTTCTAAGATTGCCATTCTCCACAGCAAAAAATGATAAGCAATTAAATATTTTGGCCAAGTGCTATTTCGTCAGATTGTTTTCCACTTTGGCTGTTTTGTTGACTTGGACTAACAGATTTTCCAGGCCTCGTACCTTACCTGTTCCTGCAGAGATGGGTAACTTTTCGATGGCTACAGGCTGTATTTAAGTAAATTTGGCTACTTTGGAAGGGACAAAATCCAAAGCTAGAGTGATATGTCACACACATGGGCAGGGATTATACCATTTTTTCCACCTGGCTTTCAAAAAAGAAAACTTGAAAAAGGTGGATTTTTGGTTTTTGAAAGTACATTATGGCTAGTAACATGGAAGTATGTTTACATTACCAGCTTCTTGTACACCTGTCTCAAAATCAGAGGAGCTATCCCACCAATTTTCAGCAATCTCAGTCAGAGAAAGCTGTGGGGCCATGATGGGTGGGGAGGGAAAAAAGTTCAGATCTGTTGGTTATATATTCACCCGTGTTTTACAGGTCTCTTAACGGGGGATTAGACTAGGAGTCTTGCACTTCTCCACTAAGATCAGATCACTCCTGTGACAAGGAGAATTTTTCCTTGCATGAAGGACTAACAGAGTGATACTATTTATGAGTTTCAAACTAGCTGTAATTCAGATAAAGTCTATATATTTTGCTGTTCATGTCTCTATTCAGAAAGTTGCTGAGCTGATGGATTAATCTGTACGGATATAAATAGAACAAATAATTCAATGTAATTGAGTTGGGGGTGGGTGTTAACTCTGAGGAGCATTTGAAATTAAAAAAATAGTCAGGCAACCCATATTTCATCCTTGAATTACAGCATAAAAAAAATAATACCTCCATATTATTTCTCATTGTTTAGACTGGTAATAATATTGATTGGTCAAAGGCACGATTCCCATTGTTTACCCAGGTAGCAATGTTTGTTACAGGCATAAGGCCAGAAGTACAAAACCCATCTTCAGAGAAATGATACACACAATTGGTCACCCTCATTGTTGGATAACAGAAAATACAACCTTTGTATAAACTTTTCTTAACAATGTTACTATTAACCAAAAATGCTCTTCTTTTCATAAGATATCTCTCCTTTTTGGGGGTGGGGGGGGCAAAAGTGCCATTCTTTTCTCTATGTTGTTTATTGCTTAGCCTCTTATCCACTGCAGAGAATGATTTGGCTGTGTACAGACAGCTATATATATAAGCCATTTTACTGTAGACAAAAATGTTTTACCTAAAGCTGTCAGACTTACCATAATCATCTAACAGGATATTTTCTGGCTTCAAATCTCTGGGGGGGAAAAAAAAAACAACCACTGCTGTTATTTCTGTAGAAATTGCTTTGATACAATGGAAATTACAAGTACATTCCAACCATTTAGGCAGTAGGGTGTCAGTTTACTCAGCAAAAGAATTCAGAAAGTCAATTAAAAACATGGTTTTGCAGCAACATGAAAATTACAGTCTACCACAATCTTGAGCCATTTACTTTAGCTGGATGTGACCAATGAGGACATCATGCAGAGTACCGTATTTTTCAGAGTATAAGATGCTCCCCCCCCCCCCAAAAAAAGTGGGTGGAAATATCTGCATCTTATACAGCGAATATTGCGGTAGTGGCAAAGGGAGATTGGTGCAGCACTGATCAGCTGTTCTAGAATAGGCTGTGGCGGTTGTGAATGGGTGGTGGTGAATGGGCCACAGCTGAGCAAACAGGCTGTGGCGAACGGGCCAGATGAATACCGGATGGATGCTGGGAGGCAGAGACAGATTTTTTTTTACTTCTTTTCCTCCCCAAAAGCCAGGTGTGTCTTATACTCCAGAGCATCTTATACTCTGAAAAATATGGTATTTTGTATGTGTTCTTTAGCTAGCCATTATGGCAGCCATCAGAACAGCATTTCTCAACCTTAGCAAATTTAAGATATCTGGCTAGAGGAATTCTGGGAGTTAAAGTTGCCAAGGCTGAGAAATCTTGAGTTACAGAGTTTGATTTGTCTATAATCTATGTGAAAACCATGTCTCCATTTCTATGCAACTGAGAATTTGCAATGGAAACTATTAGCTATTTCTGTTTCAGAAATATAGGATGATTGAAGGAAAGGAGCTAGCTTACTCTTTCTCTGTCCATCATGAATGAATTCAGATACAAGTTATAGTCTGTTAAAAAAAGATTGCACAGATATGGTATGCCTTCTGCAAGATTCTAAACTGATGTAATAAATCTGTTTTAATAGGTCTAGTGAATGGATAGATATTCAAACAGCACAGCCATTATGTTTTGTGGAGTTGCAAATATTTCTTCCTTTCTTCAGAATCCAATGCCTGAAATGACCACTCTAGTATTAAATATCTACATCCGATGTGGGAGAAAGCAATAGATTAAGACCTCCAGGGCTTCAAGGAAGTATTTAAAATTGGGATGAAAAAGTATGTTGAGAATAGCCTTCTATCACATTAATCCAACATGTGCCTTTGTGTTAAACACCAAGAATAAGCCTTTGGTGGTATTTAAAATAAAGCCATCCATTTTACATCCTCATTCCCTTCACATATTTTCTCAGTGTTATTTGTTTAAAAAGGAGGCTTGTTAGCACTGGTTTATCTTGTGAAGTTTATCTTGTGAGGTCAATAGGAATTTAAACTAACAAAAAGAAGAGAACCAAAATATTCTTAGTTCATGTGTCTTTGCTTATAATAACAAATAGCGCACATAATATATTCTGAACAGATAAAAGTTCCCCAGTGATTAATAAGAGGAAAAATAATTAAGTTTATTTCCAAGTAGTGACAAAGCTTAAATCATTACTGAGAACAATCTAAAATAATGAAAAGGAGAGTCTCAAGACCCTTCCTATCGCAAATTCATCTGATACTGAATTATATTCTAAACAATTCTTGTGTCATAATCTTAGAACAATAATATAATTTTCGTATGTTAGGGATATGTGAAGGTGTACTATCTTACTTAACACTCACTTGCATTATTTTATTTAAGTAAATTGCTTCCTGGGTAAAAGTGAGGTAGTAAAATCACCTTGTCCGTTCAGATATAAATACATATAAATCAGTATTGCCAAAGATGTTACTATTAAAAAAACAACAGCAACATAGCACAGTGGTTTTTAGCAATTCTTGCATTTGGGTAAGCTAATGAATGCCATAAACTTTCTCTTGTAAATGAATAATTACTCTCATACTCAGTTATTCTTATGAAAAAGCAAAATGATTTGTCCCTTAATTTCAAGCAGAGTTATTAGATCTTTGACTCTTTATTTTATTTATCTTTAAAAGACCCTATAACAGATAGGTTCCTCATCAAAATGGTATTTAGCACTTGGGCTCAGTATACAGGCATTGGAAATCACATGGAGATAGAAAGAACTGTGAAGAATAAAGCAGAGAGAATTTTGCAGAAGTGCAGATTTTATCAGAAAGTGTTAAGGTTGTTTACATTATAATCCCTACGGTGCTAGTATTTTGCAGGATATGAATAACAACCCCTCCTTCATTACATAAATAAAGAAGCAGGAACAATTCCTCATCATTTGATAATATCTGAAATGAGCATTTCATGTATGGAACAGTCACTTTTGGCTAGCTCACATCAAGACCAAAGACCATGCATGTTTTGTCTGAACCAGGGGTCCCCAAACTTGGCAACTTTTAAAACTTGTGGACTTCAACTCTCAGCCAGCTGGAGAATTCTGGGAGTTGAAGTCCACAAGTCTTAAAGTTGTCAGGTTTGGAGACCTCTGGTCTGGACGTAGATTCAGAAGAGGTGTCAAGACACGACACCTGCCCCACATGTGACTGGTCCAAGCAGAAGTATTGTGGGATGGGGAAAGTGGGGAAAAAGCAAGGCCATAAGCAACATTGCTAAAGTGAGTTAGGGACAGACAAACAAAGGCAACTGGAAGATTGCAGAGGACAAAGTAGGCAGGCTGGGAAGTACTTGAATTCAAGGGTGGGTTACAACTACAGAGGACAGGGAAAGAAAGGCACTGGAAAAATTTGAGGACCGATATGTGGTCTACCACCACCCAAAAATTCCACCCTTCTCCCAATTTTCCTAGTACCCCTCCTTCCCTACCTCTTCTTATATCCAAGAAAAGAAGAGAAGTGCCCATAAAGCCTTGTAGCTTAGAAGGAGGAGCAGGAGGAAAGGAGAGAGAGGGAAATTACATGGCCCAAGCTGGACTGTGGCATCTCTTTGACTGGGAGAGCTGAGAGACAGAAATCCACTTGAATTCAAGATGGTGGCTAAGAGAAGATAGGAATAAAACTGTTGGGAAACTGGGTAAATGGGCCAGTACCCAGGCCATGGGGCAGAGGAAGGGAGAGAAGGATGGTGCATCATCCTTGCTCTACTCACCCCATAAGACCCCTCTGGAATTTGTTTATGGCCAAAACCTGGAACAAGCAAAATATTCTGGAATGGTTTGTCTGAATTTTTAAGCCAAAATATATTTGTTTCAGCTTCCAAATGAAACACAATTTCTGTAGTGTAAAGGCAGAGGTAATGAGTCCTAGCCAATTTCTCAGCCAGGTACTGAAGACACTCCAATCCCAATATGGACATTCCTTATGTGCCTCAAATATAGTGACTCAGCAAAATCCTGTGCAGATTTTACCTTAGCATATGATTAGAGATAGGAAAGTGCAGAAAAAAATGCCTGAGAAATAACATTGATTTTCCTCTTTTTTTCTTTTCTTTTGTAGCTCACTTGCCATTAGGGGAAAAAACGTATTTCCCATACTTTAAATTGCAATGTAAATAGTTGAAAATCATTTTTCATATATTGTTATTCAATCTTTACCCCATCATTATTTCTAAAAGCTGTGTCATAGGATTATTATCGTGTTTTTTTCTTAGTAAGACAATTTTCATAACCATATATTATTATAATTCCTGTAACCCAGTACTCAGTTGTAAATAAATTCTTCTTCCAGAGAAATTGACCATTTTCGCAAAAGAAAAGTGCTCTTTTGTCATGAGTTTCTTTTTTTCTGTTCACTTTTGATTCAGGATTGATCTAGAATATTTTTGAAACAGCACCCATTAATTTATTTAGTTTTGTAAGGATAAACTGTGCAGTAACTGTTCGCTCAAGGCCACATCTTTTGGTGGGAGAGAATTTTAACGGTTTGCCACTTAAACCCTAATTATAAGTTCCAATTAATTTGGATGTGGTACTTATGTTGCATTATTTCTCTCTCTCGTGTAATGGTACTAAAAAAAAGGTACTGAGAAACATACTATAGAATTATAGAATGAATGAGCTGGAAAGGATGTTGGAGGTCTTTTAGTCCAGCCTCCTACTCAAGCAGGAGAACTATACTATTGTAGAAGTACCTATATATTGATACCTATGTATAGAAACCTGAAATATTTTAAGAATTTCTCTAAAGCTGCAAATGCATGTGAATTTCTGAAAGCATGAAAGAAAATTTACCTGTACACAGTGTTTTCCCTGTGTAGGTCTTCTAAGCCACAAAGAATCTCTGCAGCATAAAACAAAGCTCTTTCTTCTTCAAAGCCTGGGTTTCCCATATTGTAGATATGGAATTTCAGGTCTCCCCCATTCATTATGGTTAGAACTAGGCAGAGTGCGTCCTTTGTTTCATAGGCATAGGCTAGATTGACCTGGAAGGAGGGTTGTTAAACAATAGATTTAGTTCAAGAAAATTATTCATGCCCAGAATTCATGCATAGCTAGCATTTTGTGTTAGAAAAGACATGACATCAATCAGTTAAAAGGAAGAAGAAATGGGATCGTAGAATCCTGGCTATTAAAAAAAAAAAAGACCACAGGGCAAGATATTGCAAAAGACCACAGGTAGATATTGCAGGATCCAATCTGGGTCGATCACCAGGACCAGAGGTTTAGTCTCCTGAGCTTTTGGACTTGTGCTGGAGCCCTTCCTCAACGAAGTTCTTAAAATGGGCTCCAGCACAAGTCCAAAAGCTCAGGAGACTAAACCTGGTCCCAGTGATCGATCCAGATTGGATCCTGCAACATTATCCTCAGGCATGTATATTTTCCTTCACTCATAGTCAGATATTTTCATACAATGTGTAAGATGATACTACACACAGTACTGCAGGTTTAGTTCTTCAGGAAAAAAATTAGGAAGTTTACCGATTCAACATTAAGTATGGTCTTATTTATTTCTACACATTCTTCAAGCAGCAGCAGCTACAATTAATTAAAGAGGCTTGGCAGATTCTAGAGTTTTGGACTCTGTTAGGGTCTTGTAGAGAGCTAATAGGAGTATGCATTCCATTGTAAAGTGAGCAGTTTTCAGCATCGTTTTTTCCATAAACAATTATTTTGGAACCACACAGTGCTGCCAAATTCCAGTGAATGATACATAAAAATCCACTGCGATTGCAAAAGTAATAACCGAAGAACTCATACAGAGCCAGCCCCAGAAACTTGATGTAAGTCACAATGCAGCCTGGAAGTAGTACAGCTGCATACATTTTGTTATAAGTGCCAGTCACTGATGGACCTGTTAATGAGAGCTGATGGCCATTACAAATTTGGCAATACTTACTACAAACTGACTATTGACTTTTTCTAGAATCTGCTTTTCATTTAGGGCCATGGATTCACCTTTCCTCTTCTTTATTCTTTTTTTCTCTAATCTTTTGCATGCATACATTTTCCCAGTTGCTCGTACTTGGCAGGCGCATACCTGAAAAGAAGAAAGTTACAGTAGGAAAAAAAGAGGCAGGACAAACCATCAATTAACAGAGCCAAATCAATCTCTTTTCCCTACTTAGTCTTGATTTTAATGAAATTCTTTTGACTGGAGACTAAACAGACATTTAGTAGGACGACGAAAGGAAGCCTTCCAATGTAACAGGTCTGGTTTTCCATATTCTGAATTTAGACAAATAATACATATGACAATATCAAGCTGGGATACCCTGTAAATCTGTTGTGATTCGCTGGCAGCCTGTGCAGACGGCAGTGGAATCAGACAGTGGGGAAGAATGGGAACCAGTCCGGGAGTCTGGAGAGGCCTTGGACGAGGGTCCCGCATCTGATGCAGAGATGGGACCAGGACCATCTGGGAATGGGGTGCTGACTCCGGAGCCTGCAGAGTCTGGCAGCAGCGAGGCAGAAGAACAAGGGGAGCCTGTTCCCAGTGTGTGTGTGTGTGTGCGCGCAGAGCTGCTAGAAGGCAAGAGCAGCTGAGACAAAAGGGGCGACTTGGGAGTAAGGCTTGGAGGTGATTGCCCCTCCCATAAGGTATAAAGGACATGCAAAGGTAAAGAAACTTTTGTAGGAAGCAAAGTCGTTTGTTCTGTTCAGATTAATCCTTGAAGCTCTGTGTGGACTTTGTGCTTTAGTTGGTTTTTTATAGTTAATTTGGCACTTTAGTTGTTGGCAGCAATGCAAAGGACGGAAAGGTGGGTGCTTATCTCGAGGGACTGTTTGGGACTCATTACAGGCTGGGAATGAACATAATTCCCAGCGTTGAAATAAAACAAGAGTTGTTTTAACTAAGCGTGTGCTTAATTACGGTCTCAGGAAACCTTGGTCATAACAAAATCAGGGATATTTGCACAGAAGATTGCTTACCATTGATTTCAATACTGGGTGCTACATTTCTAAAAGTGACAAGGGCCAAGACAAAAAAAATAGGCGGGAAGCTGCTATGCTAAAAATAGTATTGATAATAATGAAACACAGTTAATATCATCAGTATTAGTGTATTTAATAATATTTTATGGTAAAAATCTTTGGGGAACCCAGCCAAAGCTTGGGAGGATACAATGTGACTATATCTACTGTATAGCCACTAAGTACAGAGACTCCATCTTTACTTTCAATAGTTAAGACCAGAATCCAAAATATACATATCAGTACAGATAGTCTTCGACTTACAACAGTTTGCTTAGTGACAGCTCGAAGTTACAAAGGCACTAAAAAAAGTGACTTACGACCATTTTTTACCCTTATGACTACTGCGGTATCTCCATGTTCACCATTTGGATGCTTGACAACTGACTCACCTTTATGACAGTTGCAGTGTCCTGGGGTCAGGTGAGCATTTTTTGTGATCTTCTGACAAGCAAAGTCGATGGGGAATCCAGATTCACTTAACAACCACATTACTAATTTAACAACTGCAGGGATTCACTTAACAAGCATGGCAAGAAAAGTCATACAAATGATGCGAAAGAAAAAGTCATAAACATGATGGCAAAACTCAGCAAAATTCTCACATCAATGTTGAGCTCCATTGTGGTCATAAGTTGAGGACTACCTATAATTCATTACAAAACTTAAAGAAAAGACCATGTCTATCATTCTCTCACGCACCCAATGAATCAAGTTTAAGAACTCTTATGCAGCAAGAATGAAATCATGCAATTTCATGCTTCAATAGGTCAGATTTATCAGAAGAAAATAATTGGCTACCCTTACAGGTATAGAGTTTGTAACAAAAAGTTCACTCACCTCTCCAAAGCCACCTTTTCCTAATACCCTGTATTGCCTAAATGTGTTTTTTGTTACTGGTTGTCTGAAATAATAAAGAAAATTGGGAGAGGAAAAAAATATGTTTTATTAAGCTTCAGTTTTAAAGAAACTGGGTTAAGGCATGGCAAGCAGTTGCCATCCTTTGCACTGGATTTTTTTTTTCGAGCTATTTCTCTCTCCTTTTAATAAATTAACTGTTTTTCTAAAAGTGAAACATGGGAGAGTATTTCATAATCCTTCATTTTCCACAATCCACAAATTATTTGTTAAAGATCATTTAGTGTGGAAATCACTGAGTTTCAACCACTCTGAACCTTCCTTTTTTTTCCTCATCGGCCATAGGATGTGTCAAGGAGGAGAGGCAGTTCCTGCAGTCATTTTTTTTAAACAGGAAAAAAAGTACATATTCTTGATACTTTGCAATCCGATAATTAAAAATCTACATCAGTCTTGCACCATTCTTTTTCATGTTCCATAGTATGTAGGGCTGAACTGCCCTAGAGTTCTGGGGAAGAAATGGCAAACTGAAAATAACTCTGTTAAAAGTGAAAGTGACAGACACAGCACAAAGAAGAGCCACTAATTCATCTTCAGACAAGGACAAGACATGAGCTTGCCCATATGTGCTCCAGATAGATAGGTGGTCCTTGTGAGAAGACAATAAGACAATGGCCTTGAGAGGGTTTAAACTCTTTAGAGCTCTGGAATAGTCAGCTTTTTGCTCAAAAAAAAACAGCCAGTGCCTTCAAAAGGATACAGGGATCACATACTTTCTTTTCTAATCATTTTAGGAAATTTCATTTTTAGAAAACTTTGAATTAACATATTTTACAGCACTGGAAAAATGTTCTTCAGTTCTTAGCAAAAGAAGTTCTAAATGCATGTTTAAGGATTTAATTGTGTTTTCTTTTGGAATAAACAGCAAAGGAGTCATTAGAACTTTGATTTTGGATCCAGATGGATTTTAAATAAGGTTTTGAAATTAATTATAAGAATCTTTCATGTGGGAAAATACTTTTATTTAGAATTTGCTTAAAATATGATGACATATTGAAGGTTAGATATTAGAGGGAACTGGAAGGAACTAATAATTACAATTAAAGGAGACGAAAGTTTAAATTTGACTTACTAATACAGAATGAAGCAAATATTTTAACATTGGACATATTGAAGGATATTTATGAACAATGAATCTAGAAGTTAATTTTAAGAATGTCTGCCTCTATAGATAGACTGGATTTAAAACATCTTATGAAAGAACAACAAGTTTTATGTACAAGATTGAGAAAGATCTGAAAGACTGAAAGAATGACAGGTTAAAAGAATGATATAGAAAAAGGTGCTACACTGAGCAAAGAAAAGAGCCACCTAATATCTTAATAATGAAAAGGGATATACAAATAACAAACTAAAAAAGTGACCTGGATAAATTTCCTATAATAAATTTACAAAGGAGACTTGTTAAAGCCTTGAAGAATTTTGTGACAAAGAAAAAAAAAAACCAAGTTCTGGGACATAATTTGAAAGGACTAAAAATCAAGATTGTTAAAAATAGAAAATATAAAGTTGGCTTATTTCATCAAGGTTAAAATAAATAAATAAATTTATTTTACCAGTTTTCTCTGGTAACTTTTACTGGACTTTTGTTCATTGGCATTGAACAAAAAACTTTAATAAAGATATGTTTATAGTTAAAGAGATGTGATATGGTAAAAAGAGATCATTGGTTGTATTTTAAGAGATATAAATTTCTAAAAAGGTTTATAATTATTTCTTTACACATTTCTTTTTCTTTTTTTAATTATATTTTTAGTTTTTCAAATTTCTGCACTTAATATTTTTCTTTTTATTCTTTTCTTTTTTGCTTTATTGGTTTTTATCTTTTTTATTATATCCTTTAATTTAAATTTTTTTATTGCATCCACTGTAATACCACTTACCTTTCTAGCCATTTCCATTGGAGAAATCTGTCAAAATACATGCTGTCTGAGTATTCTTGAAAAGGTTCTCCACTTAGGTACTCATGAACCGACCTAATTCAGATGAAAAAGAAAGAAATATTTGAGAAGTTTGTTCCCTGGTCTAAATAGGCACCCCTATTTCTCTGTAGGCAGGATGTTTAGTTTTAAATCTACTAATTCAAAAGTATTAGAAGAGCATATCTTAGGGATAATGTGTTATTTTAATCCAATATTTTATACATTTCTTTTTTATCTAATCCCGATCTATGTTTTCTTATGGTTGCCCATATAACTAATACACATTATTCTAACATATAAGATACAATCCAAGCAATATCAGATTGCTCCTAAGGCCATAAATAATTATTTAGTTCTTTTCCATCAAAGAGCAAAATTAAAAGACAGAAGTATAATTATTGAATGAAAGCTTCTGAATTTTACAAGTATCTCTGTAAAGCAGGCTTGTCCAACCCACAGCCCACGGGCCGCATGCGGCCCAGGTCGCCTCGTAATGTGGCCCAGTGCCCACCCCAACCTTCTGGCAAGAGCCAGCGAGGAGGAGGAGGAGAGGCAGGCGTGAGGCGGGGCAAGGCGAGCGCCACGCCAAGCAGCAACAGAAAAGGCGGGCGCCGCCTTTGCTGCTTCTGCCCCTGCCGCCGCTGCCGCCGCTTCTGCCCCGTCGCCGCCCACCCCGCCACCGCCGCTTCTGCTGCCGCCGCCGCCGCTTCTGCCCCCCCCGCCGCTGCCGCTTCTGCCCCCACCGCCGCCCCCACCGCAAAATTTGGCCGGAAAATTAATATAAAATAAATAATTTTTAATAAATAATTAATAATAAATAATAAAAATAATTTATAATTTATTATATAATTTTATAATATAATTATTTTATAATAATTTATTATATGTGCGGCCCAAACCAAATTTTCATCTTCTAATGTGGCCCAGGGAAGGTGAAAGGTTGGACACCCCTGCTGTAAGGCATTCATGAACAACAAAAACATCTGCTTGAAATAATGTGCTTTTAAAGATCTCTCTCTTTTGATATTTCCTTCTCTTAAGGCCTGGCAAATAGCATGGCACCACAAAAGCACTAGCCTTTCTAGATAGAAATATTTACACACGGAGCTCTAGAGTACAATAAAAAAAAAAAGTCCTAACTTTGCGAAACCGGTAAGCCTTCCTTTGGACAAAAGGATGAGACCACAAAAATAGACTTAAAATTTCAGGTCTCTTAGACCTGAAGGGCGTTTTTGAAACATCTGCATGTTTTTTTTGTCTATGTGGCTTCCACAGCCTAATTTTTTTTTTAAATTAAACAAGCACTACAAAGGAGTGACTACAAAACATAAAATGTATTTTGTTATGTGCATCAAAGAAGTATATTATATGACTTAGAAGTTCAGTCAAAATGTTCTGACTAAATTGCAGTTCAGTTGAACAGAAACCCCAACTGTCTTGGGTGTTATGGTTTCAAAGCTGAGACAAAATCTGGAGGGAATCCGTTCAGCACCTTCTTTCAGGTCAACTGCTTTAGGGCCTGGCATCTCCAGGCCGGTCTAGCCTCTTCCTTTCTTTACCTTTCTTTCTTTTTTTTTTTTAACTTGCTTTTCTTCACAGTGCACTTCCTGTTTTACTGTCACATTCCACTCTGGAATATCTTTTGACTAATACACACATACAGGCAGTCCTTGACTTAAAACCATTTGTTTAGTGACCATTCAAAGTTATAACAGCATGGAAAAAAGTGAAGAATTTGCTTCCAGAAGTTGTGGGTATTCAATCACTAGAAGTTTTTAAGAAGAGATTGGACAACTTTTTTGTCTGGAATTGCATAGGGTTTCCTGCTTGAACAGAGTGTTGGAATGAAGACCTCCAAGAGTCTGGCCAACTCTGTTATTTTGTTCTGTTCTGACTCATGATCAGTTCTCCATTTACAATTGTTGCCCTCACAAAAACAAATTCAGGCACTCAGAAAATGGCACGTATTTACAATGGATGCAGCAACCTTGGGTCACATGATCATTATTTGTGACCTTCTCAGTTGCTTTTGACAAGCAAGGTCAATGGGGAAATTGGATTCTCTTAATGACTGTATGATTCACTTAACAACTGCAATGATTCACTTAACAACCATGGCAAAAAAAGGATTGTAAATTTGGGCAGGACACATTTAACAACTCCTTGCTTAGCAATGGAAATTCTGGTTCCAATTGTGCTTGTAAGTTAAGGACTACCTGTATGTCAAGTTGATATCTAGATAAACCCTAACTTTTGAATCATTCAAAATTATCTGAGTCTGTGTGCGTGGAATGCTTTTCATATTTGTAATATTAAATTATAACGATCAGCCTATTATTGAGAATGTATTTTTTAAAAAGTCTTTTTCAAAATAAAATGATATTTGAATGCCAAAATACACTTACTTTACACAGGGTGAGAACAGCTCTTTGCATGGGCTGTTTTCAAGTTTTTCTTTTATCTGCTGTACAAGATCTTGACTGGCTTCTGCTACATAAACTGCAGACTATGAAAAAGTAGAGAGAACCATCAGTTCATTATGTAGCAGGAGAAAGTATATCCTTGACAACCAAATATATTTAGGCACCAAGATATAAGAAAATATACGAAAATAGTATTTGTATTTATTTATTTATTATCAAGACACCTATGCTGTTTCATTCTAACAATTCTAGTGAGGGAATAGGACAATATCTTACCAATAAACAAAAATATTCAAAAACTGTCTACTAATAAACTTTCCAGAAATATATAACCAAATTCATGCTGGGTTGAAACCCAAAATCTGGGTTTGTTAGGTTTTTTTCCCCTAACAAACCAGAAAAAAATATTCTCATAATTAATCATGCACCTCTTCTGTTCCTAAAACCTCTATGAAAAGGTGAGGATTTAAGGAAAGAAAAAAAAGTATTTTTTCACTATAAAAAGGATAGAACACCTTACAACCAGCCACTGCAATCCAGCAACCACATAGTTACATTAACTCACATCAGAGAATAAAGGCGGTAAGCAAAAGAAAATATGTACTACTGGCAGAATCAAGTTAACATACATATACTCCATCTGTGTTGTGTATGTGCGCATGGTCTAGTTTTCTAAATCAGACAACCGAGGATAGTGTAATGAGGCAGATGATTCTGCAATCTTCATGTGCAGCTGTTATTATAATACTTGTCGTTTTAAAGATTTGAATATATATTAAGTTCTGATTCCATATTCATGTACCACGAGATGTACATTTTTACAAATAACACGAACAAGATTCCCTGTTTTTATTATTTCTTTCCACAAAAAGTTGAGTACAGTTCTTCATTTCATCTTTGCTTTGTGAGTACACAGTGTACTGAAATTACCTACTTTCTACCGTGTTTCTCACAAAATAAGGCCGGGCCTTATTTTTTTTTAACCCCTGAAAAAATGGCTAGGCCGTCTTTTCAGGGGTGACTTAATTTCCTCCCCCACCTAGAGCAGCCCATATGCATGTACCTCTCCACGAGGCCGTTTCTATCAGCCGACGAAAGCTCCCTTGAAAGCAAAGTCCCCAGCCACTTCAGGGCGAGGCGTGGCTGCCCGTGTCCCCTCACCATTAGGCACTGTCTTTCGGGCGATGGAAGCTCCCCAAGGGCAGTCATCAGCCACTTCGATCGGCCGGTAGAAGTGGCCTCGGGGCGAGCGCACACATACACTCCCTTCGCCGTGAGGCCACTTCTATTGGCCGACGAAAGCTCCCTTGAAAGCAAAGTACCCAGCCGCTTCAGGGCGAGGCGTGGCTACCCGTGTCCCCTCACCATTAGGCAGTGTCTTTCGGGCGATGGAAGCTCCCCAAGGGCAGTCACCAGCCACTTCGATCGGCTGGTAGAAGCAGCCTCGGGGTGAGCGCGCACACACACACACTCCCTTTGCAGCAGCTTCACATGTACAAAACTCATACCACCTATGCCTGGCTTCATAGAAGGTTTAGAAAACATCTATCAGGAAACAGAGAAAATAATCCGGAAAGGGAAGGGAAGGTAAATAAAACTCAACTCCTAATCACACATAATTCAACTACCACTAAAACATTTAAAAACATTTTTCCAGCTTTCCACAATTCCCAAATGTCATATAGAGTACATGTGGGGGAAAATTTCATTATTCACAATCTCAGTTACTGCAGGCATAGCTATGTGTACAAACTGAAGCCTTGCCAGCTATCTGAAGTGCCTAATAATAAATATACTTTAAATCATTTTTCCATGTTGCCTCTTTTCTTCTTGTTATGCATATTTCCTGAAATTAGACTTGCTTTACTTTAGCCTTGCACTACTTTAGCCTGGGCAAGGACAGGTAATGTAACTGTATCTTTTGCATAAAATTTTATTAATTAAGATTCTCTTTTTTATTTTGATGAAATTTGAAATGACTGAAATTGGGAACTAATTGTGCGCATGTGTGCCTATCTATCTGTATTTGTAAATAATGAAAATGAAGAAATCTGAAGAAAATATTTAGTTTTTTTTCCCTTCTTTTAAAGCACCTGCTAATAATTTTTTGTGGTTGTAAACCAGAGTTTGTTTTATTGTACAAGAACAACAGACAAGGGGATGAGTTATATCTCTGTCAAGTAAAGTTATGTTCCATTTCTTATTCCAAGTACTTAAGAAATAAATGCTTTTGAGAAATGGTTTCCATATGTAATTGTGTTTCTGTTGCAGGCCAAATTTAATTAGGTTCTGCAGGAAGAAATGTTATTTAGTCCAACAATACATCACAACATTTTAAGTCATTTGTCATCATTTCAGAAATTGGAATGTGGTATGTATTGATGGAGAGAGATAAAATTGCTGAACCTTTCCCAGAATTTCATAGAGAGCTGTAGGTAGTACAGTTCCAATTACAGATCAGGAAAAAAATGATTGTCCACAATTATCTTTCTGACTTTTCAGTATTAACAATTCTGCATACAAAATATTTCATAACAGACATATTTGAGAACATTTCAAATAAAAACAACAAGAAGAATACTTGAAAAGCTTGGTTCAAGTAAGCTTGAACTCCAATTAGTACAGTCTGTGAACCTAAAAGGCTAAGAGAAAAACAACACAGAAGGCTGGTTGAGATATCACCAAACAAACAAGCAAACAAACAAAGTGGAGAATTTCCAAGAATTTATTCATTATTCAGGAAGACTTAATGATGAAGACATCTTTGACGCTGCCCTTTCTTGGCCGGTTTATGGAAATGTTTGTTTTTGTCTTCAGTATTATCTTTCAACTTCCTAATCTAGATTACAGTCCTTTTCTGGAAATTCAAGTAGCCAGATCAAACATTTAGTATCTTAGGAGATCAATTCAGGAAAGCTCATTCCGGAAGATTTACTAAATTCAAACCAGAAGTAGTAACATCATGGATGTTGAAAAGAGGTAGCCAATTCACCCAAGTAGAAATTTTGATACTTAATTTTAATGAATATTTCTATATATAGATCAAGGGTACCCCAACCCCTGGTCCATGAACTGGCATTGGGCTGCGGCATGCCAGAAACTGGGCTGTGCAAATAAGCGAAGCCCCATCTATGGCATGCAGGGAGCCTGCAAAACCACACCTCCTCCGGTCCTTGGAAAAACCTCTCTCTCTCCAGTCCCTGGTGCCCAGAAAGTTGGTGGCCGCTGCTATAGATGATTTGGTATTTCTGCCCCATAACCTCTTAGACATTATGAATTAATAGTTTTATTGTCCGCTGGTAAGGGATTATAATACCTTTCGTAAGGCATTTTCTACTTATTGAATAACACAGCACACATTGCAATGCTGTTTGAGGCGATTTTATCAACATGTTGGTATTAATTAGACTGTGTTATGATTTTGATTTGAGGGGGGAAAAGTCAACAACCCTTAAACCAAATATTTATTTTCCCAGGATTGCTTTACAGCTGTAGAGGGCAGTTAGCCAATTGCAGGAAAAAATGCAGCTGTTCTGAGAGGTTGCCAACAAGTGTTATGTGAGTCCAAAGCACCCTTTTCTCTTGAGTCCAAAGACTGCACTATTTTAATATTAACATTCATGTTATACATACATACATATCAATTGTCTTAATGTCTGAATTCTCAGAAGAAAATTACAAACAAAATTTAAATTCCTGAACATTTATTTTTAGCATGGAAAATGCAAATTGATTAACTGAACTGGATTAATGAAGTAATGGAAGATCTCATTGCAGATTGAAAAAAAGACCGGTAGTTTTCTGAAATCAACATTCCTTTCTTTGCATCCCTCCAGCCCTTAAGTGGAGCCTAGTATCCTTCAGTATGGATCCCTGCATTGTACTGCACTGCACTGACCCCTGAACTGAACAGGATGTTGGCCTAAATGACCTATTCCAAAAATATTATTTTCAGTGCAACCATTCTATCCTTGCACACACCCATCCCATTATGGAGGAAATACTTTAGGGAGAAGCCGTTAAGCACACTGCATGCATAGTACAGAAATATCATGTGGCATATAGCAATAGTACTTAGACTTATATATCACTTCACAGTGCTTTACAGCCTTCTCTAAGCGGTTTACAGAGTCAGCATATTGCCCCAACAATCTGGGTCCTCTTTTAACCTACCCCGGAAGGGTGGAAGGTTGAGTCTACCGAGATATAAACATATCTCAAGTAGTCTACATTTCTAGCTAGAAAAGATGTTGAGGATGAGACAAATAAAAGTAACTGTGCTTCTTTTCTGTCAAATGTAGAAAAACAAATTCTTAATATGGCTCCTTGTCCTATATTATTGGTTTCTGGCATGCAGGGTTATGGAAATGCACTATGTAGCAATAGCAAAACCACAACCAAGTCTTTTCTGTTAGGAAGCAGAAGGGATAATGTGACATAAGACTGTCTATCTTTTCAAGTATGGTGCTCTCCACCTGTGTCAGATCACAGCTCTTAAAATCCCCAGTCAGGATGGTCAATGCCACCAAGTAGGTGACAAGTACTTCAGCATCTAATTGCACAATGACAATTTATGAAATGAGATTAAATAGCCCATATTCCAAGTCATTTATTTCCTTGGCCCTAGACAATTCTTGATTTCATTAAATACCCTAAGTTATATCATGCTTTATTTTATTTTATCTGACAATAATTGTTTGCATTGATACAAAACACTAAATCATAAATTAGATTAAATTCACATAACAAGTTAAAAAGAGACACAAAACATATATATGGAACTACCATATCTAAGAAGCAAAAATCTGGATTACCACTAAAATGGAATCAAATCCTGTCCTAAATCCTAGTTCTTGGCTAACATATAGTGATTGTCCAGATTTTGTAGCCCACATTTGGTCCCCCTAAAGTTATGGTTTAGTGTCATCCAGACTATATTGTGCATGTTTCCAAGCCTCTCAAGATATCTACTTTTTCTCATGGAACAACACAAATTTATGGACATTCAAATTATGAACATGAAAAATGTGATTTTTAAATAAAAATATTTATTTAAAGTCACATTGTTAGGTTTATAATTTGA